ATGTCAATGCTTATAGCAGCTCAATTCATAATAGCTAAGCTATGGAACCAACCCAATTACCCATCAGATGAATGGATAAAAATGTGGTACATATGCACAATGGAACATTATTCTGCCATAAAGAAGAATGAAATTATGGCATTTGCTGGTAAACCAATGGAACTGAAGATCATCATCCTACGTGAAATAAACCAATCCCCCCAAAACAAAGGCTGAATGTTCTCTCTGACATAAAGATGCTGACTAACAATAGGTTGGGTGGAGGGGGCCATCACCAGATTGCATGGGGAAGGGTGTGTGTGTGAGGGAAATGGAGGGCAGATGGGAATGGGAAAGACTGTAGAATGAATCAGGCATAACTTTCCTATGTTCATATATGAACACACAGTGTAACTCCACATCATGTACAACTGAGAGAATGGGAAGTTATACTCCATGTATGTATAATATGTCAAAATACACTCTACTGTCATATATAACTAAAAAGAACAAATTGAAAAATCTTAAAGAAGAATAAGGCCTATTTTAAGAGATAACAAGTGAAATTTAGAAGATGAGAAGGAAAAACTGACTCCCATGCTTGTACACACTTGGTGATACAGGACAAAAATTAGTACAACACACCCAAACACAGGATGATAGTTCATGTAACTAACAGAGATATAATTCGCCACATTTCTAATGCCCATAAAGAAGGGGATACGATAGTCTGTGCAGCATATGCCCATGAACTACCAAAATATGTTGTGAAAGTAGGTCCAACGAATTATGCTGTATCATATTATACTGGCTTGCTGCTTGCCCACAGGCTTCTCAATAGGTTTGGCATGGACAAGGTCTATGAAGGCCAAGTGGAGGTGACTGGAGATGCATACAATGTGAAAAGCACTGATGCTCAAACTGGTGCTTCCCATGCTATTTGGATTCAGGCYTTGCCAGAACTACAACTGGCAATAAAATTTGTGGGGTCTTGAAGGGCTTATCTATCCCAAACAATTCCTTGGATATGATTCTGAAAGTAAGGAATTCAATGCAGAAGTACATTGGAAGCACATCATGGGTCAGAATGTATCATTATCTAAAGAAGATAAAGGTGCTTACAAAAAACAATTCTCTCAGTATATGAAGAACAATGTTACCCCAGACATGATAAAGGATGTGTATAAGAAAGTCCATTCTGTTATAGAAGAGAATCCAGTCTATAAAGAGAATCCCAAAAGAGAAGTTAAAAAGAAGAGGTGGAACCATTCTGTAATGTCCCTTGCCCAGAAGAAAGATCATGTAGCTCAAAAAAAGGCAAGCTTCCTCAGAGCTCAAGAAAAGGCTGCTGCGAGCTAAACAAAACAATAGCTTTTCTATGAAGATTTTTCAGATAAAGACAATAAACTAATTAGGCAAGATATATATATATATATATATATATATATATATGATGGTATAAAAAATCTGTGGCAAAAATAGCCCCAAAGTATAGAGCCAATTCTGGCTGATCAACTCACAGCACATGCAAATATAACTTCTAAAAGACTGTGATCCAAGGTAGAAAGTAAAAACTATATATCCAGTAAATGAGACCAATGGGACTCACTGCTAAATAAAAATCTGGTTTCCCTTGTTTTCTAAAAAAAATTTAAAATTTCAAGATAGTGACCACAAAGCACTAAACCAAGCATAGGACCCTTCTGAGAGCAGTGTCCTGTGGGACTGCACAGCACATGAGCCCACAAAGCTTGCTGTGTAATAAAAGAAATGTTAAGATAAATTGACTTTGACTTGAGAAAGAGTATGTAAACAAAACTTCCAAAAGATAAAACTTAAAGAAAAATTGCTTGTCAAGAACTTCATCAAAATTGTGGATTTCTAGTCAACTCATAGGTAAAACTAAGCTTGGTCACAATTTGAAAATATGGAGATGACATAGCTGCAGTCTCTAGAACTAAAGAGCTTCAGTTGGAATACTAGCTTCATAATTATTGCAATAAATGGGGCTATTAACCTATGTCTTTTGAACCTTTGTTTTCTTTTGGTAAAATAGAAATTATTTGAATACTTCTTCCACAGGATGTTTTTGAGAATTTAATAAGCAAATGCATCTAAATAACTCAGAACAAAAACTTTATTGAGCACAAAATACATGTTATTTATCTTCATTACACTTGTAATTTATAAAATAATRAATGGTTAATGTGATGAATATGTAATAAACTATAAGAAACAAGAATAAAAACTCAATAAAAAGATGGACAAAGTACATGGCAGGGATAACAGTAGAATCTTTGGATAAATGGCAGATCAAACATAGATTTATCCTTTGGATAATTCAGAGAGGTGCCCGGGTTTTTAACCTAAAAGATGTCACAAGTAGGGAAGAATTCACATTGAAAAGACCAGGATTCATTCCGAATGAGACAAATGCACTTTTTGGAAAAAGAGAAAAGAACTTAGTGTTGTCAGCAACAGTGAAGAGTCAGATCTAGGAAGAGCAAAATCAAATCACCTCTTTCTATTCCTCTTTCTTTGCTATCCTTAAAACCACAATAACAAATGTGTAGGATATTAGATGTAATCACCTTTCTGTCCTAATCAAATGGACACAACTGCCAACAGTTCCTTAATTTTTATTGCCAATTTCTTTCCAATGTATGAACCATAATATTTTCCAGGAAAGTTACCAAGATAAGAAAAAGAACTCATACTTTTTCTGAGAAAATGAAAGGAACTTCATGAAAACATATTAGGCCCTCAAGACCTGTGCTGTCCCTGGTTCTGAAACTAAGAAATAAACCTAAAGAAAGAAAATAGAAAGATTGAAAAAAAAAATATATACAATACCACATAGGAATTCCCCAAGGCTGTTCCCTCAAATTATTGGTATGGAGAGGTCTCCTGTTTATTAGAACATTCCTGCTCATCACCAGGGGACATGCTCTCTCAGGACATTTATGTCTAGAGATCTGTGTCTCATTAAAGTACCAGCAGAATTTCAGAGAGAGAGAGAGAGAGAGAGAGAGAGAGAGAGAGAGAGAGAGAGAGAGAGAGAKATATGAAGGTGAAGAGCTTATGCAACAGTCACAATATGAACTATCATTTCAAATACTTTTCAACTTTTATAATTGCTGGGAATATAAACCTGAAAAACTTTCTTATCTGTGCTTCTGATCATTAAACCAGGTAAGAGAATGATACAGAATACAAACGTTTTTTGACTGATCTGCTTGCTATTACTAAAACCCAATGCTCAGGACATAGAACTGGTTTCCTCCTTTCTTAAAATGTCTTCCATCTATAAAGCTTAGAATCCCAGTACTCTCTTGCAGTTTAACCCATGTTTGTTAATTTTATTTACTGTAGTCATAAAATTATTTTCTTCTCCCATCAATGATTTCTGAAATCTTAAATGAAACCCTTTTGTAGGAAGCACCTGAATATCAGCAGCTCTGTTAAACTTCCCTATAGTTCTTGTAGTCCTCTCAATGCCTCCCATTTCTACATTTCCCATGAATGCTTGCTTTTTCCTTCTACTCAAAAGCTAATCCACTACATCTTTAAGTGAAAAGAGCAAAGAGAAAGTTATTTCACACAATTTGGTTACTTTTGCTGATGTACCTCAAGGAGATAGATAATTGCAGGTACTTTGCAAATAATGGAGAAAAATAACCATTCAAAGTTTTTTGCCTCTAAGTAAACAGTGCAATTTTATTCAGATATTAAACCTTCTTACAATTAGCTTAGTTGAAATTCCTCAGGAGTTTCACATGCAGTGAAAAAAAATGCTATTTTTTCAATTCTTCAAATTAACTGAAAAAAAAGTTGCCCTTCTTTAGGAGAAAATAAGACTTTATTTGAAAGAAAAAAAGAGAAAATATATTTTTTAAATGAGGAGAGCTGGAAATTCCTAGCAACTTTGGAGAGAACTGATAGGAAGCAGAAAGACTTCTGGAATCATGGAAGATGACACAACTACCAGTTAATGAAACTAGAAAAGAGGAAGGTGAATGTCCTTAATATCTGAAGAGTGAGTTGATTTCAGGAAAAAATAAATAAAAACAGACTTAAGAAAAGAGATCATAAGGGAAGACAGAAGGAAATGGAATTCAAGGGGATTGAAGTCATGGACATTTTGAGAAGAGGTCAGTATTGGTAAAAGAAAGGATGAATTCTTGACTCTATCAAAGGAATAATTTTTCTTATACAGAGATTCAGGAACCTAGGAAAGGATTTTTTAAAAGTCTCAAGGCAACCAAAGAATAGAAGTATAATAATGCCAAATTTGTCATGAAATAAGTAATTTGGGATTGTATTTTGAAAATATTTAATGGCTCAGATAATAGGAAAAATCTAAACCTATCAGCAGATGTAGTAGTGATACAGCCTCATGTATGTGGTCATGTTTCCTATTCCACTAGGGTTCCATGATGTTTCTAAGGATGTGGGTCAGAAAGAGATCTCAGAGAGGATGTCTCTAACCCTGTTTTCATTCAGATGAATAAGTGCAACTATAATTTGTTAAAAAGCATTCCTTCTTTAAAGAAGAAAAGTCTTTAAAGATTTCGTAATTATAACAAGTTCATCCTTATCTTTTTCTCAAGTTCACATCATCGAGGTGACCTCTGACTACTCCAGAGATAGCTGCCTGGTGGAACATTTAAAATGTTGCTCCTTGTTAGTGATACTTAGAAGATGAAAGGAGAGTTGAATCAGAATGTAGATGTTCACAGCCAGAGAAGATGGTAGGCTGAAAACCTGTCTTGAATCCCTAAGAGAAAAACAAAATCAATGACAAATGTAATAAGTTTAAAAAATGGTTGTGCCAAAGTTCAAAATAAATATTCACCTTTAATATTTGATAGTCTGATGGCCAAAAACTACACAATCTAAGGCAGTTGTTATTTAAAACAACTAATTTTTGTCTTGTCAAGAAAATCCTGGGTTAGAAAGACTGATTCTCATTAGAGATAGACTTCCATAAATTACTCTGTCTTTTCTTTTCCTTTTAAGTGATGCTGAATCAAACATTAGTCACTGAATTTCTTCTTCTGGGATTGACAGACATTCAAGAATTGAAGCCTTTTCTTTTTATTGTTCTCCTCACCATCTACCTTGTGAATGTGGCTGGGAATGGAGCCATCCTGATGATTGTCATCTCTGATCCCAGACTCCACTCTCCTATGTATTTCTTCCTGGGAAACCTGGCATGTCTAGATATCTGCTACTCCACAGTAACACTGCCAAAGATGCTGGAAAACTTTTTCTCTACACACAAAGCAATATCTTTCATGGGATGCATAAGCCAACTTCATTTCTTCCACTTCCTTGGTAGCACAGAGGCCATGTTGCTGGCAGTGATGGCATTTGACCGCTTTGTGGCTATCTGCAAACCACTTCATTACACTGTCATCATGAATCCCCAGCTCTGCACCCAGATGGCTATCACCATCTGGGCCATTGGATTTTTCCATGCCTTGCTGCACTCCATAATGACATCTCACTTGAACTTCTGTGGTCCCAACCACATCCATCACTTCTTCTGTGATGTTAAGCCATTGTTGGAGTTGGCTTGTGGGAATACTGAGCTCAACCAGAGGCTGCTCAACACTGTCACGGGGACCATCGCCACAGGCCCCTTCTTTCTGACCCTTCTCTCCTATTTCTACATTATCACCTACCTCTTCCTCAAGACCCAGTCCTGCAGCATGCTTCACAGAGCACTGTCCACCTGTGCCTCCCACTTCATGGTGGTTGTTCTTCTCTATGCTCCTGTTATCTTCACCTACATTCGCCCTACCTCAGGGAGCTCCATGGACATGGACTGGCTCATTGCCATCATGTACACTGTAGTCACTCCTGCACTAAATCCATTGATCTATACTTTGAGGAACAAGGAAGTGAAGGGTGCCTTGAATAGGGCAATCAGAAGGAGGTTCTGACTTGAAGAAATCTAGTGACCTCTTCTGAAATATACATAACCAACCAGGCAATAAGGAAGTTGAAATGTGAAAATATATTGTTTCTCAAATTATTTAAAATATGTATAACAGGATATATCAAAATATGTATAACTGGATAAAGAGAAACTATAATCTAATTGTATTTTAAAATGCATTCCAGCTAGCATAGGGGAGATTTAAACAAATGGGATATTAGTCATATAATCCTAATKCTGAATATTTGATGGGATATCTGTTGATAAAATTAATTTGGTACATATTCTTACATATCTTGTATGAAATCAAATAAACAAATATGCCTATGTTATCCATGCACTGAGTAAATGGGTATGTTTTTTCAGTATGTTTAGTGTAGGGTCACTTCAGGTTAACACATCAAAATATGGTGAATAAAATTATAATACTTTTATATTTTGAAGATTTTAATATAAGACCATGATTCCATTATTGGAAAAGTTAACACTAAGAGACATATGACTTTAAGATAATTTTTAGGAAGTATGTCCTAATTTCTTTTTCTTCAAATGGAAAGGATAAATAAGCAATTAAATAAATGACATTGTAATCAACTAATGAACAAAAATAAAATAACTGGGAGTTAATCTGAAGAGTTCTAGAGTCTCTTTCCCCATAGATATTTTAGAAATCATCTGGTAAAAGTATTATTAGAAAATGTTACTAAAATTGAATGCAGATTAAATAAAAAAACTTTCAAAAGTCTTTCCATTTCATTAACATGTCAATTTTCCCTTAGCCTTTGATTATGAAAGATTATGACTTCCAAATTTTTTCCTTTTTAAATTTTATTTTCCTATGTTTATATTTATTTTGACAAAATTTTCTGGGGGCGGGGGGGGGGTTGCTGAGGATTGAACCCAGAGCAGTGTGCATGTGAGGCAATCACTCTTCCAACAGAGCTATATCCCAGCCCCTGTTTTGACAAATTTTAATGTGAAGCAATATGATATAATGTAGGTTAAATATAAAGAATTCATCAAAATGTTGTTCTCTTTTATTTTTTGGCACCAAACTCATACTAAGTAAAAGAATAGAAGTCACAATTACAGAAGTATTTCTAGAGTTAATAGGCAAGAACAATTATTATATTACTTACTTTCTAGGTTCCTACAAGTGGTAACTGGCCTTGAAAGAGTTGAAAATTCCAGAATTTACAAATATTTGGACATATTCTATGAAGAGATATTTTAAGCAGATATGTTGACTTTTCAGTCTGTTTTCATTTTCCAAACAACTTGAGTCTGACCCTTCTCCTATACTTGTGTCTCAACTCCACCTTTGGTCCCTCTTATCCCATTTAGTTTATGAAAGACTGTGTGTGGAGAAGGCAACTTCCACTCTGAGCTGGCTCATACTAGCTCTATAAACCATTTTTATTCTCACTTCTATTGGTGAAATTGGTAACATCATCAAATTTGAATGGAGTTGAACTATAAAGGAGTGTGTAGGGTTCTGGTAACTATTGCTGCATTACACACCAGGACCTGAAATATTTAAAGGTTTAAAACAATTATTTTTTTTTTATTTCTTTGGTTAAGAAGCTACCCACAGAAGTGTGTGTGAGTTGACTCTGACCCAGACTTGTCTGGGACCTTGGTTGTGATGAATTCAATAGTTGTCATGGAATAGGTGGGAGCTGACAAGGCCTTTTTCTCTATTTCTCTGTATCCTTCTCCAGTTGCTTCATGTGTTCCTTCAGCAGGGAAGCTTAAGGTCAGACTTTTTTCATGGAACCAACAGATCAAGGTAAAAATTGCCAGTTATCTCAAAGATAGAACCATGATCAGCATTAACATAATGTCTACCACACTCCATTTGCCAAAACAGTTGCAAGCCCACTTAACTTCATGGGAAGAGAAAATTGTTAGCACCGCTAAAGAAAAAGCATCAGAGATTTTGTGGACACCCTTAATCTACCACACTCCCACTTCTGACTGCTAAAAATTCACATTGTCGCCATATGCAAACTTCACTTACTACCTCTACCTAAAATCCTAAATTCTCATCTCATTATAGTATCAAATCAAAGTTTAGTGTTTTGCTTTGTTTTCTTTTCTTTTCATCTATATTGAGCCCATAACTGTYACTCACATAGCCATTGTAAATCTGGTTGTGGACATTTTTCTTACTCTGTCTTCCATATTGCAGGATGGTGTAATTGAAATTGATAATACAAAAACAATTCTTTTTTAACATAATTTAGGGATTCTTTGGGGGTTTTAGTCAGTTAGACAAATACCATATCCACAATTGTCCTTAAGACAGCTTCTCTATAGCTTAGACTGAGAGTCAGAATATTATGGAACAACACCTTTAAAATTCCCATCTGTCTATCTTTATGTCCGTATCATGCTGTTTTGTTCACTGTAGTTTCATTATATATTTCAAAATCAGCATGTATGATGCCTTCAGCTTTGTTCTTCTTTTTAAAGATCTGGGTCTTCTCAGAAGATGATATACAATCAATCAACAAATATATGAAAAAATGTTGGACATCTCTAGCAATTAGAGAAATGAAAATCAAAACTACTCTAAGATTTCATCTTACTCCAGTCTGAATCTCAGTTATTGAGAATACAAACAACAATAAGTGTTGGCAAGAATGTGGGGGTAAATGACACTCATACATTGCTAGTGGGTGGGACTGCAAATTGGTGTAGCCAATATGGAAAGCAGTATGGAGATTCTTTGAAAAACTGGGAATGGAACCACCATTGAACCCAGCTATTCCATTTCTCCATCTATACCCAAAGAACTTAAAAAGAGCGTACTACAGGGACACAGCCACATCAGTATTTATAGTCGAACAATTCGCAATAGCTAAACTTTGGAATCAACCTAAATGCCCTTCAGTTGATGAATGGATAAAAAAATGTGATTGATATATATATATATATA